TTGTACGAGCAATCATCGAAGTTTGGATTGACATAGATTCCTATCACCTGATACTAATCCGTCTAAAGTGATTTATATCCGATTTGAATAATTTTAATCCTTTTTAATACCGTATTTTCGGTGCGGAAATCCCGATCGATTCGGATAACTTTTTTTATAATCGGTTTTAATCGAACATTTTCGGCAGGGTTATTACGCGTTATCAAAGCTCTGTTAGAAAAAAAGTTTGCTTTTTGAGATTATACTCTAAATCAGGCAAAGGTCAGAAATTCCATGTCAGGGCATATCCTTCTGTTTCTCCATCAGGCAAGGATCGGGAATTCCGTGTCAGAGCATATCCTACTGTTTCCCGATCAGGCAAGAATCTGGAATTCCGTATCACGGCATACTCTACTCTTTCCCGATCAGGCGTTAGTGCATCTGGCATTGATCTAATTTCTGCTCGGGAACACATGGCGAGTTTCAGTACTTTCGCAAAACTCCGTCCTAAACATTGTTTTCTCGCTGGGATTAATGAAACACACTCCGTTTGTGTTTGTACTTTCCATGAGAATTTGAAAATGATGTTGGAAGCTATAAATATAAAAGAACTAACAAATCTCTTAGATAAGCTGATCACTGATTACAAAGATTGTTTAAACTTAATTGTTTGCAAAAACTCCACTCCTAATTGCGTCATCTGGATAAATGTAACAAGTGTCCGGATATCACAGACTTTTCTATAAGTTATCTCAAATTTTAAACAATTCGTCCATTTTTGCGGTCGAATATAGTTCATGGACAGGAACCGATAGATCAACATTATAAACGCTGACAGTCGAAGTGACCGATTTCATTGAAGAGCCCTGCAACAAGTTACAAAGTCTCAAGCCACATTCCTTTATTGCAAAACAACAAACGCAATTTATTTCGGATAGAAGAACGAATCTACGTAAAGACGAAGTAATTGTTGTGTTTGATTTCTCTGAGAACTATTCGTATGTGGTTCAGAATGCAGCACAAGTATTTCATTTTAACAATGACCAATGCACGTATTTTTTATCATTTATTATTACAAAGACGGATTGGAATTAAAACACATAAGCTGCGTATTTTTATCTGATAACTTAAGACATGACACTGCCGCAGTCTACTCGATTCACAGATAATTAATACCCGAAATTAAGTTGAACGTTAAAAAAGTAAAAAGAATAATTTACATGACAGACGGTGCGAAACAACATTTCAAAAACCGATTCCAAATGGCTAACCTTATGAGCCACGGACAAGATTTCGATATTGCAGCCGAGTGACATTTTCATGCGATTGCACATGGTAAGAGCAGTGTTGATAGTATTAGTGCTACATTTAAGAGGTAAGCATACAGGGCGTCTTTTAGTTAAACCATTGGACGCTTTATTAATATTACAAGCTCTCTATAAATGGGCTCAGAAACATTTCAAAACAATTAAAATATTTTATTTTAGCAAAATCAAGCACGCAAAAATGAGAAAGAAGCTGAATAAACGACTCAAATCAGCACTTGCACTACCAAATATTCTGAAAAATCACTCTTTCACAGTTTTACCAGAAAAAAACCTTATTGATCAAACGATTCTTCAATGCAACTCATAGAGTAATATTTTCCTCAAAAGATATAAAGTAAACTGGTACATACAGTTGTAAAACGAATAACTCTATTTTCGGCATCCAACAGGATGGGCCATCTCAAACTCAGGACATCTGAGGGAGATTCTTCAGTGACAATCAAAAGAAAAATCTGAAATATCGAATTTATCGAGAATTGGGAAAATTTTCGCGATTTGGATAATCAGGTTTAATTTCCTATACTAAATTTCGAAAATTTGGCTGCAAATTTATTACAAAGACCCCGAGGGTTCCAAAAAACTTTAGTTACGGATTTACAGGGCAACTGACAAGGGACAATTATCAGAATTTTGACCGTTGGTCGGTCATATTGGATCCGCCATTTTGAATTTGCAAATCCGAATGCAAATTTATGATTAGCGACCCATAGAACTTCCGAATATCGAATTTCATGTAAATCGAGAGAATTCTTGAAATTTCGGACGGCCGGAATATTGGATCAGCTATTTTGAATTTTATAATTATGACTGCAGATTCGTATTCAGCGATCCCCAAAACCTTAATTTATGGGAATAGACAAATTTTCTAGCCCCCTGTGCTTTAGTAATTAAAGTTTGTTCTAAAAATTTTTTGACGATAGTCCATTCCAGTCGCGATTCTGGATCCGCCAAATTGAATTTTCAAAGAGGCCATAATGCTAATGAAAGTAGACATGTGTACCTACAATTTGAGTCCAAAAAAAAACTTTTTGGTTGAGCTGAATTTTGGGCAGAGGGGATGGCCCCCTTGACAAAGAATGCCCCATATATATACAGGGTGTCCCCGGATCAGTGGCCACCCCCTTTGATTTCATAAACTAACAGAGATAGACCTAATAAATCTAATATCAAATTAAACGGCTCTGACTAAACTTTATTGTAAGCACAGTGATCACTTATAAATATTATCTATGTTAGAGAACGGAAAGACAAGCATAATTTTTGCACGGTAAAGTACTTGATGTACATGAAATAAGTAAAGATACAAAAATTCCATAAAAATTCAGTTACAAGGCATAAATTAAAAAAATTACGAAGCATTTGATGAAATTATAAAACGTACAATAAAATTGTGAAATATTTAACATTTTATAAAGTGACAAATAATTCACATACATATTATGCTTTTTATAAAATAATAATTATTGTCGATATAATAAATAAACAAATACGATTTGAAACAGAGGTTTTATTGCAATTGTATTTACAATAAAATATAATTTTTTTATTGTATCTTTAATTATAAATATTAACAATTAAACATTATTTAACAATATTTAAAATTTTTCTAAACTACATTTTAAATTAA